AAGAGACCCATCAAGAAGAATCTAGAGGAGAAAAAGTTTATTTGGGTCTCATAGTTTCAGAGGTGTCAGTTCACGGATGACTGTCTCCCTTGCTCTGTGGCTGAGGTGAGGCAGAGCATCATGGTGGAAGGGTATGGGAGAGGAAAAGAGCTCAGGATCCAATAACCAGTAAGCAGAGAAAGAGATTACAAAGCTCACCAAAGACAAAATATATACTGCAAAGGCACACCCCTAATGACCTGTCTCCTGCTGTCACACCCTACCTGCCTAAGGTTGTCACCCAGTTAATCCATTCAGTTGGATTAATGGGCTGATTATATTAAGGTTCTTAGAAGCAAATCATTTCATCTCTGATCTTTCTTGCATTTTCTCACACATCAGCTCTTGGGAGATACCTTGTATCTAAACCATACTATATAGTAAACCCAACCAAAGACACTGAAGATGATAGAGCAAAATAATAAAAAGTAAAATAAAAAAGTGACTGAAATAGTAATGATAATGTGACACTACCACACAAGTCCTGGAAACCTAACCATGAGCTTCTTGTAAGGTAAAAAATAATAATAATAATAACTTCCTATTTGGTTAAGAACCTGTGGCTGGATTTCTTGAATTTGCACTTGAACATAGTACCTGAATTCCAAATCTATCTACTCCAGTCCAGAAGCTCTTCTAAATCCATGTACCCATATCTACATATTTTAGAAACATCTCCATTTAGTACTTAAGTTCCAACTTGCCCAAAACAGAACTCATCAATATTCTTCCCAAAATACACATTTTATTCTGTATCTCAAACAATGATGAATGTCACCATTGTTTACTTTTCCTAACAAAATTCTAAACCACAAACAGAACCCCGTATCCCTTAATCAATCCCTTTGACACCTTTCCAAACCACATTTCCCTGTACCACTGCCCCAGGTTTATTTTGTTGTGAGGTCTAATCCTATGAAATCAATTTCATAAATATAATAATATAATGTTCACATCTAAATTGAAGTTCCTATATAGTTTACTGGAGATCAGCTACTTTCATTTATTTGAAGCAAATATAACTCCATCTCCATTCCTACTGCTGCTGCTGCCACCTTACCCCAGGCCCTCAGCACTCTACCCTACTACAGCCTCCTACCTTGTCTACTTGTCTTGTTTTGATCTCTCCAGCCCATTTCTTACCCACACTTCCATCATAATGGCTTTATTTGGCAGGAGACAAAATGTAGTCTCTCTTTCCACAACTATTTTGCATGGTAAATGAAAACAAAATTGAGGTAGTTATTTCCTGAAAGAGAAAGAAACAAAAAAGAAGAAAAGCACTAAATTGTACATCTTAATTCACAAAATGAAGATTTAGAATATGTGCAAGATAGAGAGAATATCTATAAACTTAAAGTAATTCAGCAGAAGCAAGAATTTTGAGTCAGAAATGCCTCAGAAGTCCAACAACTTCTTTCTCTTCCCAGTTCTACCAAATCCCCAGGGAGATTGAGAGGTATGCAGTCTTCTACTCACGGTTTGAACTTCAAGCAAATTTCATTTGAATTTGAGATGTCCCTGTACCTCTCTGATTGCTGATCTACAGCCCAAATCTAATAATATTATTCTCCTACTTACCGTGTTTGATGATGTTTATAACATCAGCAGGGGGAAAAAAAATGTCACACATCTTAGCACAGCAGCCCTATGATCCATCTGTAGTAAACCACCCAGAGTTTATGATACAACCGCTGTGGTCAGAATGTGATGTCCCCTGCACTGCTCCATTCCTATCTTGAAATTTAATTCACAATGTCATGGTATTTAGAGGTGGAGCCTTTTGGAGGTAATTAGTTCATGAGGGTAGTGTTCTTATAAAAGAGATTCCAGAGAGCTACGTTGTCCCTTTTGCCATATAAGGACACTGTGAGGAGATACTATCCATAAATTGGGAAATGAATGAACCTGCTGGTGCCTTGGTCTTGACCCACCAGCCTCTAGAACTGTGAGAAATAAATGTCTATTATTTTATAAGTCTATAGTATTTATTATAGCAGCCAGATTACATTCTAGTTTGTGGTGACAGAAAAGAAAAAGATGTATAAAATGAAAAAAAAAAAGAAGTTCTCATTAGGTACTATAACAAAAAATAAAGCAGGATGGGAGACCTTTTGGTGGGGGTAGGTCAAGGAAGGCCTTTCTGATAAAGCCTCCTTGAGTAGAGACCCAAATGAAGTGAAGGAGTTTTTAGATCCCTATGAGATAAGAGTGTTGTTCCTGCATCATTCCTGCTTAGAGGCCTTAATCTGTGGGCCTCTGAGCAGGAATGATGCAGGAACAACACTGAAGTCAAGATGCAATGGAGTCAATGGAAAGAGAGGGTCCATGCAACTGTACTCTGGGTTTCTCTAAGCAAGTGTCTTTGACCTTTCAAACAAATTTGTAAAGTCAGTTAAAATAATTAACCCCCCCCCCCTTTTCCCTATAACTCTCTTATTTTTTGCCAAGATGTGTTACCTGATTTCCTTCAGGTCTACCATGATTTTACTCATTCTCAGGCATTCAGGTAAAATATAATGTTCACATCTCAATTGAAGTTCCTATATAGTTTACTGGAGATCAGCTACTTTTGTTTATTTGAAGCAAATACAACTGGTGAAGAAAAGGGAGAGAAAAGGAAAACCACAAAAAGCTCAACATGAATGAAATATCTAGAAAAATAAAGAACTACGATTGTCTACTGATTAGGAGAGATAGAATTCAAACTAAAAATAATTGCCCTAAAATAAAAACAAGATAAATTCCAATTGTCACGACCCCATATCTAACCAACACTCAAGATGGACCAATATCAACTGAAATGGATGTCCAGTCCACCTATATGACAAAAAGTAGGTGTATTCAAACAGCATTTAGTCTAAAGCTGAGTGCTCATTTGCTAAGCAGACAGACCATTAAAAACCTGTGGTTTTGGGTGTTTTCAACTGAACCTGATTTTTTTTAGATGTATAAATTAGTTTACCTCCTTGGAAAGACATGATTTCCTGTTTTCTAGAGAAATGCAGTCTTCTAAAAGCTTATTTAAAAGGTTCAAAAGGCTACTTGGGCATCAAATAACTATTAAAAACAATATTTTGACTATTTAAGTGTAAACGAATCAGAAACATATGGATTAAATTTCCCTTAAATTGCACATGCAACAAACTTAAGAGTAAAAGCAGGGGTGAAACCTGTTTTGGATTTCAGCGGGCCCAAAACATTTGAAAAATCATCTGAGATGTTCAGTAAAGTCAAAGGTACAGCTAGATTCACCCATTCCTAATTCATCCCTATCCTATGCTTCTGGGCTTAATATAAAGAAGGGTGTAAGTACAAAGTAGCTTAAAGGTAAAATGGTTAGATCTAAATTTAGAGGAGATTAAAAAAGAGAGAGATAAGAAGAAATTTTTTAAAATCTTTTTTTAAACCTGTGCTTGAAAAAGAAACTTTCTATTTTAAAGAAATTTTGAAATGTTATTTGGACTCTTTATATGATTTCAAGTCCAGTTCAAATTAAAGACTGAATTAATGTTTGTTGACCTTCTACTATGTTCTAGTCACTGTGCTTGGCATGTCATCGTCAGTTTTTTCCCCTTCCCTCTCACCAGAGGAGACAAGGCACTTGAATTTTACTTGGTTTTAATCTCCTCACCTTGAGCTGTCAGCCCATTTACAATAATCAGCCCAAACCTAATAGATTAGCTTAAAAATTTGAAATTTCTTCCTCCAATCGAACTCATTAAGAATTGAAGTACTTAGCTACTAACAGAACTACATAGAACTGGGAGACAGAATGAAAATTAGTTAATAACACGTTTTGGGATAGCAAGTTATTCCGTTTGTTTGTATGTCTTTTGTATTTTTTTGTGTGTGTATAACAGGGATAAAAACGCTTAATGTTATAAGATCATTGTGAATATAAACTGGGGAGTCACATGTAATGTGCTTGAGAGTAAAAAGTAGGTGTACTTTTATATGCTCAGTACTTCTTGACTCTAGCCTTCACTCAGAGCCAGACTGTGTCACTGCCTATAACTATTCCTAGTGCATGCTGCTCTCCTCTCTCTAGACCCTCTATGTTAAACTCTCCACTAGGCACAGAGTAGACAACGAATGGTCTCCGTAAATTCTGAAGAGGCGCTTAGAAGCACTTCCATCAAAAGTTCAACTTTACACCTCAAAGTGTGTGCCCTGTGGGATGCTCAGCTTCTTGGAGACTGAGGTTATTCCAGCATGTCAGGTCAGAAGTTACCTGTGCCAAATAGTAACAGGGATGGGACCTTCCATGACCCATCTCTTGATAACTACGGTATAGAAACTTCCCTTTTCCAGTCAAAATCTGACTGGCATCTCCTACCATTTATTTAGGGGATTTCTGGCCTCCAAGAAGTCATTGCTCTTTCTCAGATGTACTCAGCTTCTTCACTCTGCTCATCTACTCTGCCATGGCTGGAGAAGCTAGCATAGACCAATGGGCAAATAGATCATAGCAATGCCAATGCTCACATCCATTATCTCTGAAAAAAGAAAGAGGATATTGACAGCCCCCTCCCTATCAACTGCTCCTGCTTTCTTATCTGGGGTTCATGCCTCTGCCTCCCTGCTGTGGTTTGGATATGAGGTGTCCCCCAAAAGCTCATGCATGAGACTTTGCAAAAAGGTTTAAAAGAGAAATGATCGGGTTATAGTTCTAACCTAATCAGGAAATTAATCACTGATGGAATTAATGGAGTGGTAACTGGAGGCAGGTGGGGTGTGGCTAAGGAAGTGGTTCATTGGGGATGTGGCTATGGGGTATATATTTTGTATCTGGAGAGTGGAGTCAGTCTCTCTCTCTCTCTCTCTCTCTCTCTCTCTCTCTCTCTCTCTCTCTCTCTCTCTCTCTTCCTCTTCTCTTCTCTTCTCTCCAGATCATCATGTGAGCTGCTTCCCCCCACCACTCTCTTCCACCATGATGTTGTGCCTCATCTCGAGCCTTACTTCCTGAGGAATGAAGCCAGCAATCTATAGCCTGAGACCTCTCAAACTGTGAGTCCTCAAATAAACTTCTCCTCCTCTATAATTGTTCTAGTCAGGTCCTTTAGTCACAGCAGTGAAAAAGTTGACTAAAACACTCCCTGTGACTGCCAAACTTTTCTCAAGAAGGAAATGAGGTGGCTGGCAAGAGTTCTCAGAACCATACAATTACATACAGAAAAGCAATCACAGAACATTTCACTTTGACTGCTCCTGGCCTCCCTAAACACTAGCCAGTATGCCCTTTCTCTAGGGGAAAGGCCTGAATCCCCAGCACCACAGCCCATGAGGCTTTCACAAAGCTCCTGCACAGCTTTTAAACTTCTGAGTTGTATCTTAGCTTGTCAGATTTGCTGGTTAGTCAACTTTCCATTGCCTGTCAGCAGTGAAAACCTGACCAGAAGAGGTGACCAGCAGGGATCTGTGAGTCACTTACTTCCATGAGGTTTTAATGAGCCACATTAACTTAAGCACTCTGACAAATCCACACATAAGATAATTGGCTATAAATCCCTAGTGAGAGGCTGCACGTGGAGTGAAGGTGTTGCATGTTGTGTATGCACCACAGGTGAGAATTTTAAGAGGCAACTTAATGGTTTGAGAGCCATCTAATTATCATTAGGTGGCTCTTTGGTTGGGTTGCTCTTTGTTTTAAGTTTGTAGGACTAGGAACTAGCTTCAAATCATAGCTTAAGAAGGTGAAAATGATTGATACTTAACACAGGGCTCACTCTCCAGCCATGTGCTCTTTGGGAAATAATGGGACACTATGCCCTTCCTGCAGCTTCAGTGGCATTCGATATTAGTTCATCTGTCAAAGGCAGAGTTAAAGTTAGCGGTGCTGCTAAAGCTTCCACATCCCATTATCCACAGTGTTATCACTCAGGCCAATCCGAGACATGGCTGCAAGGCTCTGGGGTCCCATGAGAGGAGAAAAATCATTCCTGGAGCTTCCAGGAACTGAATAAAGACAAAAAGTAGTACCAAAGTGACCTCAGGAGTTTTGCAGGTATCATTACCAGAGGTACATTGGTCAGACTGAACACTGCAAAAGGGAATCTGAACAGAAATGTATGCTGGGTGTCCTAATATGATCCAAGAAACTCTGTCCATATCTTATAGATCAGAGGTAGAAAATCCTGTTTGTAGACAAAGAGTTTTAGCCCTCAGGGAGACAAAGGAGAGATCAGAACCTTGTAATGACCCAAGTTCAGGAAGGAGGCGAGTTCTCTAGGATACCTGACTAGAATACTAGAAATAGTAGCCATGCAGGCTGCTGCGTATGAAACAAAGCCCTCTCAAGAATTATTGTTTTCAATATTCCCCTCTTGTCAATAGCCACAACATCCCACCCAGTTCTGAAGTCAGAAACACAGGAACTGAAGCCAGAATTAAACAGGCAGTCAGTATACATAGATAAATTGAGCCAATTTAATTCTGGGAAGTTGGAGACTACCCCCTGAGTGATTGAAATGCCTCTTTCTTCCTCTGCTCTTACCAAGATAACCTGCCCTGCTCCAACCTGTTGCTAAGGTAATCTGTCCCAAGAATCCTCCCTCCCTACAGGGAGTTATAAAAGTTGTTAATTAAAGAGTCCTGGGCTGTTCCATCAGGCCCTTTCCCCCTTCCATCTACCTTTCACCTTTTGGCCATTCCACCTTAGCAACTCCTGGTCAGTACCTGGTCAGTACCATAAGCAGGAAGGAGAGAGACAAGGAGAAGAGAGCAGGAGGAAAAAAAAAAAGCCTAGGACATATAAAAAAGGAAAAACACCCTCAGTTCTTGGGATAGCAGGATACCAGCTATGGCTCTCTTCTCCCTCCAAGAGAAGTCTGTTATCCCTTTTTATTTTTTAATATATTCATTTTTTAAGTTTTAGGTGGACACAATATCTTTACATTTATGTGGTGCTAAGGATCGAACCCAGTGCCATGTGCATGCTAGGTGAGCGCTCTACCACTGAGCCACAACCCCAGCCCATGTTATCCCTTTTTAAATAAGCCCTACTCTATAGACTTGCCTTGGCATGCTTCTCTAATGTTATACTTTAACATGTGAGGAAGCAGGACTCATCACCGATAATCAGCGGTATCAGAACCATACATGAATGATATTTTCGTCTCTGGTATGCCCCATATCTTAATCAAACACCAACCCTTTTGCTCCACATTCTTTGATGTCCCTTAAATTTCTCACTTCTCATCATCCCACTATTAATACCTTGGTCTGACATCATCATCAGCCTCCTGACTACTCTTTCTGCCTTCCTACCAACCCCTGTTTCTGACCAATATATTTCTTATAGTCTGTACCCTTTTCCTACCTAATTACTTATAGCTCCCTAAAAATGCCAAGCTCCCTCTTTCTCCTGGGGTTTACATATCTTTACTTTCTAAATCTCACTCCTTCACTTGCTCCAAGTGGGTGCTCCTAGGCTTGAAGCCCTACCCTGTGTTACCATTTTACCCTGGTATAAGGGCCTGAGCACCATATTCCAGCAGCCTCTTGTCTTTCTGATCAACATATTACTCCCACCTCCTGGCACACTGCCTGGACCACAGTAGGTAATCAGTGACTATCAGTGGACTGGATATTGTGACTTGCAGAATATTCTCCTGACATATACCAAATTCTGGATATAGACAATAGCAGAAAAATATATATGTATTTATGGATCACAATGAATTTGAGGAGTTTTGACTGGATTGTGCCTCCAGATTCTGAATGTGAGGAGTATGACTGTACTTCATGCTATGATCTGAATGTATGTGCTCCCATTCATACGTTAAAATCCACCCCCATGTAATGGTATTAGGAAGTAAGGCCTAATCTCTTATGAAAGGGATTAGTGACTATTTTAGTCAGTTTTTCACTGCTGTGACTCAAAGGCCCCACAAGAATGATTTTAGAGGAAGAAAGGGGTTTGGGGCTCTGTTTCTGAGGTCTCAGTCCGTAAATGGCCAACTCCATTGCTCTGGGCCCCAGGTGAGGAAGAACATGGAGGAAGGGAGTAACAGAGGAAAGCAGCTCAGCACCAAGAAATAGAGAGAGTTAAATTTGGGGGTAAAATATGAACCCCAAAGGCATGCCCCCAGTGACCTACCTCCTCCAGTCACACATACAGTTAACACCCGGTGAATCCGTTGAAGTAGATTTATGCACTGTTTTGGTTAAGACTCCTGGCTTAATCATTTCTCCTCTAAACTTTCCTACAGCATCTCACACATGTGCTTTTTGGGAGACACCTCATATCTAATCCATAACAGTGCCCTTATAGATGAGGTCCCAGAGAGCTAGCTAGTCCTTGCCACCATGTGAGGACACACTGAGAAGGTACGGTCCCATGAACCAGGAAGTGAGCCCTCACCAGACACCATATCTACCAGCACCTTTATCATGGACTTGCAAGCTTCCAGGACTGTGAAAATAAGTTTCTGTCATTTATAAGTGAAATCAGCTCATAGTATTCTGTTATAATAGCCCAACAAACTCTGATACCCAATGAAGAGACTACTCTTCTATCAGTTTTGGCTCAGGGTGTAGATAGATCTACCATGGATGGCTATTTCAGTGACCTAGCAGTGTATCATTAAAGGTGACCAACAGAAAACAAACAATGTAAAGCAATATAAAAACCAAACACCAGGGAGAGGTAACAATACCTCCTCATCCAAACAGCTCTCCTTATTTAATGATGGTAGTAGCAGGAAATAGTAGTGGTATTTGAAACTGAATATAACATAAAATCTAGTCTGATACTTTGTTTGGAGATTTACATTTTCAAGGAAAATACTCCAGTCACCCATTATAACACTGAATCTAGACCAATATTTGCTCCTGCCTTCTACTCCCAAGCATAACTATCCACTATAAATCAAGGCTAAACCAGGTTCAAGTAAAATCAAGACCTTATCTTGAATAAGTATGAAGGATTTAGTTTGCTAGAATGAAAGCAATCCTCTTTTGCATACCTTTTATTTTTTTTATTTGTTCTAATTAGTTATACATGACAGCAGAATGCATTTTGATTCATTGTACACAAATGGAGCACAATGTTTCATTTATCTAGTTGTACAAGATGTAGAGTCGCACCATATGTGCAGTCATATATGTACCTGGGGTAATGATATTTATTTCATTCCACCATCTTTCCTACCCCTTACCCCTCCCATTCTCTGCCTCACCTTTGCCCAAAGTTCCTCCATCCACACATACCCCCATTATGGATCAGCATCCACTTATCAGAGAGAACATTTGGCCTTTGTTTTTGGGGGATTGGCTTACTTCACTTACCATGACATTCTGCAACTCCATCCATTTACCTGCAAATGCCATAATTTTATTGTCTTTTAATGCTGAGTAATATTTCATTGTGTATATGTTTGCATGCTTTTTATAGAGAGAACTAACCAAGTAGAAATAAAACAGTAATTTTACATGGTAATGTGAGAACAAAGCAATGACTCTTAATGCATAGAAGTTTTGCATTTAAGATTGGTTAGAAAGTAAGTCTTCTTAATTCTGTTCACATCAATTGGCTAATTAAAACATTTTCTTTTAATATACAAGATACTCTCATGTTGAGATTTGCCCATACCTGCTAGTCATGGTCAATGTACCACATGAAGGGTAGGATACCACCCTGTATGATTATACAGGTTATGCCCACCTAGAAAAGTGACTGGGGACTGAGAGTTAACACCCTGCTCAACAAACTTTGGATTCTGGCATCAAGCCATGGACAAGGCACCTTTTTCAAATCTATACAGAGGTACTATATAGACTGTATATATAGGAAAGTCCTGTTTGGAAAGGTTAAAACTCAGACACTGTCATACCTCTAAAGTAAATTTAGAAGATCAGACTTCTGAATTATGTGTTCCAGAAATCCTACAAGTTGAGTTATATGATTGAAGATGCAATCCAAGAATATATCATTCTGCTCTCTATTCATCATGACTTTGAGCCTGAACTATTAAATGAATCTACTCAACACCTGACCATCAGAACTTTTGCTAACAAGGGAAACTGTCAAACTTTATACTATACTGTACAAACAAAAAAAGTCTATACAAGTCTACTTGAGGCTAGAGAATAAGCAAAATCCATCTTTCTGTTTATATTCCAGACATACTTGGCTCCAAGCTCTTTGAGCACACTTGCATCTTCAATCATATAACTCAACTTTTAGGGACAGCGCTAACCTAGGACACAGTCCCATAAATATCAGTAGTCTGACTGACTCCTGAATATGGTTTCAATCTCATGCCTCAATCTTTTTATTCTTACTCCTCTCTGAGGCTGGCCACCCTTTCTTCTAGTGTTGAATGCAATCCCAGACCCAACATACAGCCCAATATAAGGCAAGGTCTGATGTAGTCCAAAAGATGAGGACAACATGGTAACTTCTATGGGCTTCAAAATGCTAAACTTCCCCATTCTGAAGTTTACGTCTTACATCCTAATAACGATCTCTGATGCACAAAAGTTTTTAGTTTTCATGATATCCAATTTACCTACTTTTTCTTTCATTACTCCCATTTCTGGTATTATATCTAAGCATCCATTTTTAAGTCCAAAGTCGTGACAAATGACACTATATTTTTTAAATAGTTTCATTGTTTTAACTTTTATTATTAGATTGTTTAATTATTCTAGATTAATTTTTGTACATCATGGGAAGAAGAGGGGCAAATTCATTCTTTCATAGATGGAAATTGTTTTAACACCTCTGTTGAAAAGAATATTCCTTCTCCATTGAATGGACTTGGTACTCTTATCAAAAGTCATCTGATTAGAAATGTATGGATTTACATATCTCATCTCTATTCCTTTGGTATACCTTATACCCTTGATGATTTTTTGATATCCCTAAATTATGAAATCCTGAAGGTCATCATGCTTATTTTCTATTGCTAGTATCTGTAAAAAAAAAAAAGTTACTATGAACTTGGTGGCTTGGCTTTATTATATTATAGTTTGGGAGGTCAGAAGTCCAGAATAGTTTTCACTGAGGTAAAAATCAATATTTCAGCAGAGATGAATCCTTCTGGCAGATAGTGTGAAGAAGAATCCATTCTCTTACCTTCTCCTGATTCTAGACCAACCACATTCCTTGGCTCATGGCCTCCATCCACGTTTAAAGCCATCAATGATAGATTTGAGTCCTTTTCATATTGAATCACTCTTTTTCTCCATCATCACATCTCCTTCTCTGTGACTCTTCATCTGTTTCCTTCTTCTTGTGGCTCTTGTGAATACATGGCATTTACCCAGTAATCCAGAAAATCTCCCTATTTTGAAATCAGCGAATTAGCAAATTTGATTCCATCTAATCTTAATTCCCTTTGACATGTAACATAACACATTCATAGATTTCTGGAACGAGGGCATGGCCATTTCTGGGGATCCATTCTATACTTCTCTAGCTTCTCTAGCTCTAGACTTATAATCATTTGACATGATAAATTTCCTGATGTTGAAAGCCTACACAATTTAAAACTGGGTCTGATTTATTCTCCATAGTGTCTCTTAAAGTTGGGATATGAGATGTCCCACAAAATCCTATACGTTGATACATAACTGTTTAGAGATAGGTAAAAAGATTAGATTAGGAGAGCTGTGACCATTTGATGGATTAATAATTTGAACAGAGAGTGGTAACCGTAGATAGGTAGGACATGACTGGTGAAAGTAGGTCACTGGGGGCATGGTTTTGGGATCTTTTTTTATCCCTGGCTCCTTATGCATCCTACCCACATCTGCTTCCCAGACACCAGGAGCCAAGCAGCTCTCCACTGCAATGCCTTTCTGCCATGCTTGCCTCACCTTGGGCCCAGAGCAATGGAATTCACCAGCTATGGACTACATCTCTGAAACCATGAGCTCAGATGAATTTTTCTTCCTCTCAGTTGTTGTGGTCAAGAATTTTGTTCACAATGATGCAAAGTTGACTAATACGTGTACCTACCACCCCTCAACAGTGCCTGGAAGATAGCATATACTTCATGGATATTGTTGAAAAATTCGTGTATTGACTTTCTCAAGGCCCAGATAGTTGAGGCAAGTATTTTTCAACCCAGATTTCACAGAGCACCAAGATTCTATTGTGACTTAGGACCCACTTGAAGGGAGGAGGGGAAACTGCTAAGGAAAAAAATTGAGTTGGGAACCCAATCCAAACCTAGTTTTAAGCATAGCAGTTTGCCTATATCTATTTCCTATTAAGATTCTGTGTAAAATTTTATTTCTAAGAAGAGATTATAGTACTAAATGAAATTTGGAAAACACTGGGATTAGGTCATTGACAATATAGCACATTTTCAAAATGTCTGCTTTGTGAAGATGTTGATTTTATAAGATAAATTGAACCAGCTGTCTAGGTAAGTTACTCTTGTAATGGAAAAAATGTGTTTCACATGGTGCCCAAAAGAAATTAGGTTGAGTAGACTTGGAGCATGAGATAGTCTCTTTACAACTCAGCATTCTAAATATAGTTTCTTGTTCAATTCTACAAATATTTTCTTCCAGTGAAGCAATTCCTGTGTCCCTGAATGTTTCCTAAAACTCCTTGCACATTCCATTGGAAGTAAAGAACTCTCTTTTCCAAACTAGTAATAAAAGAAAATCATAAGTGAGCTCTATTAAATGCTTACTCAGTGCCAGGCACTGTGCTAAGCAATTTACACATATTATCCTTTATATGTATGTAGTTCTTGCCAAAATCTTGCAAAATTCATAGCATCTCAACTTAACTGTTAAGAAGACTGGACTAATAAACATTCAATAACCTGCTAAAGTCACAGAGTTCATTAAGAGATCTTCTACTATTTCCCCCATATAATGATCTCAAAGACACTTCTAAGAATAGGGAAATATTTGCCTTGCTATCCTAAAATGATCCTTTCATTTTTATTATGTCCAGTGGTATTTGTAGAGATTCCAGATTGTCAATTATATTTAAGTGAAAAGTAAACTATACGGAATAGGTAATCATACAAGGTCACACTTTCAGTAAGATATAAAATTTCTGCTAGGCCTGGTGGCTCATGCTTGTAATCACAGTGACGTTGGAGGCTAAGGCAGGAGGATCATAAATTCAAGACAAGCCTGGGAAACTTAGAAAAACCATGTCTCAAAAATTTAAAAAAGGGCTAAGGATGTAGGTCAGTGGTAGAGTGCCCCTGGGTTCAATTCCCAGTATTGAAAGAAAAAAAAAAAAGATATAAGATTCTTATTGACTTTGCAATAGCTAGGAAATGGTTGAAATCTCCACAAAAGATCCAATATCCTTCCTAACTAAGATACAGTAAACAGCTGGCCAGAAGCAGTTTAGCAAAGGTTAAGAGCCTACCTCAAGGCAATCAAACTTGAGCACAAATTTGAACATTTGCTATATGATGTTAGGAAGATTCTTCACTAAGTTTAAGAGGGAGCTAATAGAGGCATTTAGAGAATTAAGCAAAATAACAACTATTGGAAATGTTTGAAATAATTCCTTTCATACAGTAAATTCTCAATAAATGTTGGCAAATAGTATAATTGACGGATTTGGAGTGCTTTCAGATATGAAACTTAAATAGCAGTTCTCTTTGTACAGTAGCAGTAATAATTAATTAGTAGTAATAATAATAAATAGAGTAATGATTATTATTATTTGTTTTTTCCTGATCATCTTTTTCCCTGTACTTGAATGATCACCTCACTGTCAAATCTGCTAATATGCTTAATCTTATAAAGTAACTCTTCTGAGCACATTTCCTCTAGCTATCATCTAACATTTATGCTCTCTATTGACCTAAAAATCTTCAAAATTCTGTATATCCTAGGTATCCCCCACTTATCCTCTATTCTCTCTTCAAATGACCCAAGGTTTGAAAACTCTTATTGTCAAGACCACATATTGCCAAATCCAATCCTCATCTTACTTGTCATGTCAGCAGCAGTTGACAATGGATTGCCCTTTCCTTTCTAAACCATTTTCTTCACTGTGGAGTAATGATAAATAAATATTTATTCTTTTTGCCTTGTTCCTGAAACAAAGTTCCTGAAACCCATGTAATTTCCTGAGTAACAGGATGATGGGAGCATCTTTTGTTCTAATATTTTTTTTTCTTTCTTCCAATTCCAGACACAGAGCACCAAGAGGCCTTGGAATTTCCTGAGTGACCCAAGCAAAAATCTTCATTCTAATATGGTGACTCTTGGTAGGCCCCTAGATAGCCTCAGGTTGAGTGTTAGTTACCGGAAAGACCCAGGCACTATTGGTGGGTTGAAACTTTCAATCCCACCTTTGACCTCCACAGAAGGGAGAGGTTTTGAAAATTGAGTCAATCGTCAATAGCTAATAGGAATTTGATCAATTATGCCCATGTGATTGAAGCATTTGTGTGTTGGTGAATACATGGGAGTACTAGGAGGGTGACGTGCCAGGAAGGGCATGGAAGCTATGAGCCAACCCCCATGTATTGCACTACGTATTTCTTCTCTCTGGCAGTTCCTGAGTTATTTCCTTACAGTAAACCAGTAAACATAAGCAAAGGATATCCCTGAATTATGTAAGCCATTCTAGCAAATTATCAACCCTGAAGATGGTATCTTTGAATCCCAATGTAAGCTAGTCAATCAAAAATAGAGCAGGCCTGCCACTTGACTGGCATCTGAAGTGTGTAGGGTCCTGCTCTCATTTGGAACTTAATAGTTGACATATGGGGTCTTCACTTACTCAGGTAGTTAGTATCAGAATAGAAATAAATTTCTGGATTCCCAGTTGGTGTACAGAGAGTTGGTGAATTGTTTGATGTGAGAATGAACACCCACATATTTGATGTCAGAAGTGGTGTGTGTAAAAACAACTAAGTGCAAACATGATGGCACTCTGTCTCTTCTTTCAGTGCTCTCTGAGTGATCCTTTTCAACTTCTCTTAGTGGTCGCTATTTGTCTTTCAGAACCCTTTCACTAGAATGCCCCAGACTACAGGTCTCTCCGTCCTTCAACAGCACTCGCTCTGTGATCTCATCCAGTTCCAAGCTTCAGATAACACAACGTACTACAGGTTTTAAGTGCATATCTCCAACCTGTCCCTTGGATTCCATATTTGTCTATTAGACATCTCAAAAATAACACTTCTAAAACTTAACTCCTGTTTTCTTATTTCTACTTCCACCTCCACATCCACCATTCCTTGTCTCTACAAATGACAACTCAATCACTCAGGTGGAAACTTCTTTGACATTTTCCCTGACCACTCCCACCACATGCAAGCCATAAGTATGTCTTATCAGATCACCTTGAAACTGGCTTTGGTCTAATAATTTATCCTACATCTAGCAAGCAGCCAGACAATTCCTTATTTTAAAAATTACATCAGATAGTGTCATGCTTCTGCTTAGAAATTCTGTAACAGCTTCCCATTGCATTCAGAATAAAATCCTGTTTCCTTAGGTCACTCCACCCTAGCCAAACAAAACACTCAAGTGTCCCTTAAGTACCCCCAAGACTTTGTATTATTCGTGCCTGTGTTTGAAACGTTCTCTATTGCTATGTAGCTTACTCCCTCATTTTACTAAGTTGTCTGCTCAAATGTCACCTTATTAGAAAAACTGTGAGTCATCCTGTCCCCTTATTCACTCTCTATTCCTTGTGCTGTCTCATTTTCTTCATGTCATTGTTACCTGGAATATTAGGGGTTTTTTTCATTATGCTTTCCTCATTGTAATATGTTTCACTAGAGCATGACTTTTGTCTTTTTTTATCATTTATTGTTATAGCCTAAAGACACAGAACAATACATGTATCAATAGAAGAATTCATAAACATTTGTTAAATTAATAAATCATTTCTTAAACCCCTACAATATAATCATGTCCTGGTCAAAGCTAACAACCATACAAGGTTAAGTGCTTGGATGTTGGTGTTTAGATGGTATCAGTCTGATGCTCTTTTACTAGTTCTAGTGTTAGACAAATTACTTAATTTCAATTTTCTCATCTGTATAAAAAAGAAATAATATGTTTTTCTTAGAATTGTTGTGAGGACTAAAAGGGACAAAATATGAAGAACTTTGTACAATATATAAAATTTGCTTTATATTCTACAGATAAGAAAAAGAGGAAAAGGTTAAAAAAAATCAAAATTAGAACATAAGTTATAAAACTAGGAGGAGACTGGGGCCCAGGTGTGGAATACAGAGTTCTAACTAATGCTGAAAGATTTTCTTATTTGTGTTTACTATTGAAACTGAATCAAGAAAAGCAGCTTTTTATACCATTTGTTCCTATATCTGAAAAGAAACATGAAATCTTTGTTTCCAAGTTTTACGGGTCTGTTGAGGTGTCCTGTTTCTAGAAAGGAAATTATCATTTCTTAATTTTAATTTAATAATTGCTATATATTCTTAATATTTAACTATTCACACAACAAACATATGACTAAGAACTTGAAGTTCTGCTTAAGAATAAAAACCATGTGCTTTGACAACAAAAATATTAGAAGAGCTGAATGCTGAGGAAATTCTGGGGAGAGTGTCACCCCTTTTTCTCCTTGTAGGTGGGAACACTCTCTACCCTGTATGGCAGTTTCTTTTTAAAGTCCTTGCATGTAAACACCAGTACATGAGAATGACTAACGGACTCACTTTCCTCCTAAGTGTTAAGTATTGCTTAAGTTCCTAGCTCCAATTTCTCAAAACAAAAATGCATAGAAAATCTCTGGAAAGTAAACCAGAGAACTTACTATTCCTCTCATCTGGTTTGCACACTCTTAACTGGTGCCTCTGGGTACACCATGAAAAGAGCTTTAATTAAGAGCAAATACACTTGGGTTTTACTTATCTTGGGCCCAATACCATACTAAAGAGTTCATGAAGGGGGGAAAAAAAAGATATTTTTTTCCAAAGCTTTTTGACTACTTTTGTGGTAGAAAAAAAAAAAGCCACGCATACTGTTTAAGATTATTTACAATCCCCAGAGAAAACTAACACCCAGCATTAGTGTACATGGATTCTGTCATGTGTTAAAAGAAACACACTCAGAGTGGGCCTGTGACTACAGGATTTTGAGGTTGAATTTCAGGGTTTATTGGGTAAGGGAGTGATTCATTGAGATGTTGATATTTTAGCATTTTCTATTCAACATGGGAATTCAGGGATTATCCTAGGAGAAATGAAGGGGAAAGTTATATGTCTCAACTTTTATTTTTAATGAGGGTAAATTTGCAGGGATGTCAAGAATTGGATAGTCCACTTGCCAAATCTCTGTTTTACATATGCACTTTATTTCTCCATCTTATTCTGCTCATAAAGGTGTTGCCAAGAGCCATTCCTACCATGATGTTTAGTGCCAGCACTGTCCAAATAAGAAGCTGTTCACTGTTAGAAAGAGCTGGCTGCCGAGGCACAGATGCTACATTTGTGTTGGAAGCATTCCTGTTTGGAAGCCTCTGTGCTTCACATGAATAAAATTGTATGCATGATATTTACCACTCCTTAATCCAGGGACCCCTCCTCCTTCTATTTATGGTAACTGCAATGTGTTGTCTTAAACTGCATCTGGACTGCAAATATAAAAAAAAACGGAGCAGTTGAAAGTAGGGTTGTGATAATAAGACAAAGTGTTTGCCTTTACTGCTTTCACTCAAAGGTCTGACATGACTGCGTATCATCCTGTCTCTCAAAGAGAAACCCCTGGGCAAACCTCTTTAAGATGTGGCATCCACCTTGGAAAAATAGGAATTATAATATCTTCCACAAACAATGGATATCAAGATGTAAAGCTGTAACCTTCCTGTACCATTTAGCACACACAGAACAGGGAACATAAATACACAGAAAATGTGAATGGAAGGGAAGGAGATTACAGAAGTTTATAAACAAATATTCCTACTTTCTTCTCTGCTCTTCAATTCCTAATGTGTGTTCCCCTGGCCAAATGAATCTCTCATTTTCTATCTCTTTAAATTGAACTGTTATAGTACTTCTCTCATATATATATGTGACAATTAAATATGATAATGCATCTAAAGTACTCACCACAATGCCTGACACGTTGTAAATCCTTATGCATTTCATCATCATTTTCAATTTATCGATTTCTGCATACTTGTAAAAATAACCTAGTTTAGCACATTTCAAAATATCATCTGTGAAATAATGCTTATTTATCTTCCTATAAGAATGGAGATTGACCTAGCAATTTCTGCACACAGGCAGAGAATTACAGAGCCCTAAAGTAGATAAGAGACATCCCTGAACTGATTAGATCATGTTAGGATCTCCCAATCTGAACGCATCACTCACTCCTGGCAGGGATGTACAAAGTGTTCCTGATTCAGGTCCTATTGAGAATCCGTAGGCTCTCTGGGGTTTGCTACTTATGCCCCTGGAACATGCTAGATATGTAAAGGAGATATAGCTGTTGTTTGGCCCCGGTTGAACTCCACTCCAGTGAGGCCAGTTTCTGAATCAGTTTCTTTGGCTTTGATTATGTTTGTTTTCCTTTGACATCTGCTCAAAAGTTCTCTGGAACCCAGTTTTCATGAATTCACTCCTGCGAGAGCTTTTGATCTCTGGTTTATCTGGAATTCAGAGTCAATCTGTCTTGTAGACATTGTTTTCCTATTTAATCTTAAATTTAAAGAAATATAGATATATACATACAAAAAAAGAAACCCCATCATTAATGCAAGTACATAGAAAACATAGCCAGCAAAGAGATCTAATGCATGCAGTCAAAGCAAGAAGAGAAAACACAAAGATGCAGTTAGTATCACAAAAGTTTCTTCACCAAAAGAACTTGTTTGCTCCTGTGGTCTGTGATGGATATAGCATTCTGAAACCTAAAAACTCTACTTTGTGAAAAAAAATGACATATAAAAATCAATCAGAGACATTTAAGTTACAAGGCACTTGATCCACTTATTCATTTTTCAACACATACAAAAAAATAGAATGAACAGCTAATTTATTAAACATTTTCTATGTCAGACACTATTTGTTAGGATTTGGATATTAGGTGTTCCTCAAAAGCTCCTGTGTTAATGCAGAAGGTGAAATGATATAGATTTTGACAACCATAACCTAGTCAGTGGATTAATCCACTTGATAGATGACTAATTTGAATGGAGTAACTGGGTGGTTACTGTAGGCAGGTGGAATATGACTAGACAAGGTGGGTACTAGAGGCATGACTTGAGGATTGTGTATTTTGTCCCTGACTTCTTGTGCTCTCTCCCTCTGCTTCCGAGCTTCCATGACCTGAGAAGCCTCCTTCTATAACACCCTTCCACCATGGTGTTCTACCTCACCTCTGTCCGAGAGCAATGGAACCAACCAACCATGAACCAAACCTCTGAAACCCTGAGACAAAGTAAACTTTTCCTTTTCTAAGTTGTTTTTTTTTTTTAGGTATTTTTGTCACAGTGGCAAAAAGCTGACTAATACACTATTCTAAGCACTGAAAAATGATCAATCATCATAATAGGAGAATAATGCTTTTAAAGTCTCTACTAAATAAACTGAGACACAGAGGAGTTAAATAACTTCCCCTGAGCCACATGGCTAGTAAGTGGCAAAAGCAGGTACTCACCTCGTTGAAGGTCCTTTGCCTAGGATGAGCCTGTAGAAGGAATAAGGTCTCGTCTCTAACTCTATGAAGTTTACCATAGGATGAAAAAGTGAAACAAAAAGAATGAACAGATTAAATAATTTCAAATAAGTACTATAAAAAGAATAGAAAATAAAATAAAGAACACTGTAGAAAGAACTTTCAATATAGTGGTTGTTATAGGCCAAATTATGTCCCCTCAAAATTCATGCATTGAAATCTTAACCTTCAGTACCTAAGAATATGACTTTATTTGAAGACAGGGTGTTTAAGGAGGTAACTAAGGTAAACTGAGTTTACATGATTGAGTCCCTGACCCAATCTGACCAATGCCCTCATAAGAAGAAACTGGACCACACACATCAAGAAGACCAGGTGAAGACATCTGAAGAAGATGACTACAAGCCACAGAGAAAGGATCTCCAAAGAAACCTAACTGCTGCTCAAACCTTGACCTCAAACTTCCAGCCTCTACAACTGTGAGAAAATAAATCTCTATTGTCTAAGCTTTCCAGTCTGTGGTACTTTGTTATAGCAG